TGTCTGGGTGTCTGGCCCTGTGGCTAAGTCACTGGCCTCTGGGGTTCGCCTCCCCTCCTTTGACCCCTTTTCTCTGTTTTTCTCCTTCTATTTATTCTCTCTGCCTGACAGCCCTGCCATCCTTTCTCCTGTCTTGCTATTGGATATTCACCTCTTTATTAGACCAATCCGGTTATTTGGACATACAAAGTAACACAGTTTCAGAGTGTTAAACAAATGTAACATAAAAGAATGCAACCCATCTTTGCTCTCCTCCAGTTTCAAAATGAGCTCTCACATATGCCAGTTTTGAAGCCCGACTCCATTGCATCTTGCCCATTCTTTCTACCTTCTCCTACTCACTCCCATCAATTTCAGTGTTTGTGTGTGGAGATTAGATCTTAAGCTTGTCTTGCTAGCTCTTATAACTAAAATGAACCTATTTATTTTAATCTATATTCTGTTCCATTGTTTGTTATTTCATCTCTCCATACTGCTCATGCTGCTTCCTCCACATTTGGCTGGTGACTTCACCTTCTTTTACCCAAGAGTTCTCACTCTCTCTGCCCTGAAATCCTACCTATACCTCCTGCCTGGTTATTGGCTGTCTAGTTTTTATTACACCAATCACAGCAATACACATCCACACAGTATACATATATTCCACCATACAAACTAGAGATTACTGTCTATGTTGTCCACAGACACATGGAGGCTGCCTTTGTCAGTCCTGTAGTTGACATGATGCATCTTCAAGAAGGTGTTCCACCTTTTGTGGAAAATAAGACATTTTTCATGTCCTAATTAAGGACCCATGGCATCCAGGATGAGACAGTCATGGATAATACAGCATTCAGTATAGCTGTCCATCAAGCATGATAAAAATAACATAGGGTTTTTGCCCTAATTTCTCAATCTTTAGGTGTAAACAAGGAAGAATAAATATCCAACACTCCTCAAAGGTCCTTCCTTCCTAACATCACCCTTTTTAAACCCTTGGTTATTCCATCTCTTGCTTCAGACTTTAACCTCTGTGTATCAGCTATTAAACAATACTATTCCTGGATATTTTTGGAGATGCTGGTTGTGTGTCCCTCTGAAGTAAAACTCTCACAACCACCATTTGTGGCCTCACCCATTGATCTACTAGACTCTCATTTCAATGTTCATTATTAACTCTTCTGAGCCAAATACCACTATTATCTCTTATCTCTCCTACTTCTCTCTCTTCGGTATCACAGACTGCTTTAACTGCTCAAACACAAAACTTATGGCCACACTGGATTCCTCAGACAGTAACAATACCTTGACCCCCAACACAATTACCAAGCCCTTGTGCCTCAATATTCACAATGTCTTGATCATCTGAGGCACTAATGTTCACCACTTCCTATCAGCTGGGTGGTCTGGGCCTTATGCCCAGGTGTTCCTTTTCCAAAAATTAGTAGTAGTACCCAGGGAGAAAAGCTTGCTGGATCTACTCACAGGGCTTAGTAGTAGCAAGGCATAACAAACAAGTGGTTCATATCTTATCCCTTCTTGTGGCCCTGGGAATGACTGCTAGTGTTGCTACTGAAACAACAGAACTGACTTCTTCCCTATCTTTTTATTATCAGCTTTCCTCTCAGTTTATCTAGGACCTCAAATTGATGGCTCAGACCACCCTCACCCACCAGGGCCAAACAGCCCCACTGGCTTCATAGTGTTACAAATTCAGTGAGGATTACATTTGCTAACAACAGAGATGGGTGACCTCTGCCTCTTCCTTAGGAAGGAATGTAGCTTTTATGTCAACTAGTTGAAATTAGAAAAAAAAAAAAAGTTATGACAACCTCCAGACAGACCTAACAAAACTGTAAGGAACAGCCCAATGCTTCTGGATGTTGGATCTTTGGCAGTCCAATATAAAATTGGGTATTGCCTTACTTCACTTGATCTTAAACAAAAGGCCAAGAAGTGATGACTACTGCCTTTCTTAATGCCCTACCCTACTTTCCTTAATCTTACTAGCACATCCTGCTTCATAAAATTTTCCCCAAGGACTTCACTGCCCCCAATCAACAGGAATTGATTGGTCTACTTTTCCCAACCATAGATTATGGGTTTTTGTTTTTGTTTTTTGTTTTTTGTTTTTTGTATATATAATAAACCAGTAGAGAGGACTGTAGGGTCTGAGCCCACTTCTAGGTTTGAAAACCCAACAATCACAAACTTAAAATCCCACCAATCCCTGGGCTTGGTTTGGAATTCCAACAATCCCTATCCTAGAAATCTCCACTTGGGAAAACTCTGACTCGATATAAACTCTATATAAACCCTGCCTCCTGCTCAGTTTCTGGTGCTTCTCCCTGAGCAGAGGCAGCCACCTTCTTGTGCCTCTTTCATTAAAGCTGTTTGTGAGGTTTGTTGTGCATCGTGACTTTGTGGTATTCCTTTGCCTTCAACTGTCAGAATATCTATCCCCTCATACCTGCAACACCTCCATTGGGGAAATCTTTCTTCTCAGACCAGGAGCCCTTCCATTGATTAAGTCTTTGCCTTCAGTACTGTAACACAAAAGTCTTATACATACATGGCATCGACCTGACCAACATAGTCTATTAAAAAGTTTTTTTTGTTTTGTTTTATTTTTAAATGGGTGGATCATCATGTTGAGCAAAATAAACTCAAAAAGATAAAAGCTACTTTACCTTTCCTATATGTAATCTAGATTTAAATATGTATGTGTATTTATGTGTGTAAACCTCAAAAGTAGAAATAAATAAGAAATATATTTTTAATATTTTTCTGTTTAAAAATAAACTTAGGTACTGGATCAGTTCACAACAATTCTTAATTTGAACAGCGTCCTGACCCATGTAGCTTAGATAGGGAAAACTTACTGGGTGGTGAGAGAAAGAAGAATGACAGACACAGAAAATCTGGGGTCAGGCAGTCTGTGTGTGCTGATGCAGCCACATCTACAATGATTGGGAACCTCAGTGTTTTTATTATGTACATCACAGAGGGAGGGCTTATCTAATCCCTGTAGGAGGTCTTTGTGGGTACAAATCTCTGTCTGTATGCTCAGAGATGAGAAAGCTGCAGTTGGCTTGTTTGAATACACACTGATCAATTGTCTGTAAACACTCATAATTGACCAGAGAAGAAGGCTTTGCCAATTTTGAGCCATATGGGGAAAATTTTGCCAGTTTCCAAAGGGCCCAAGGCCTCAATCCTTTTCAAGTCTGTATCCTTATCAACAATACACCTTCATGCAGAACTTTAGTGAATTGGAGCTTCATTCAATCCTTACAGAACAGCAAAGCAGTAAGCATCCTTAATAGATGTTCAAGTCATCACAAGCCTGTTTTTTTGTGTGTGGGAGAATGCATATATATACACGTGAACACATTTATATCTGTGAATCAGGATATATAGCTATAGCTATTTACAGGATGCAGTAAAATGTGTATGTCATGATACATAGGGAGCACTAAGGGGAAAGATGATTCAAGTTTCAAAAATGTGTAATTTAGTAATAAGAATAAAACTGTTTTAATTAAGTGAATATAATGATTTTAGAAAATGCCATTAAAGTTGAAATATCCTGCAATTTATGCATGCCAACTTGTATTAATGAAATTAAACATTTGTGCATGGTCGTGGTATTAGAGAAAATACAGCTTCTGTTTTGTTAGTTCCTAAGTTGTCACAATGATTAAAGCCCTTGTAGGGAATGCAGGATAGAACGAAGCATACTGACATCCATCAGATTAATACTCTATGCAGTCTCAACAGGAAATCAAAATAATTGTCACCTGCTAAGATAATTTGAAATAGATCTTAATTGATATAAAATAATGGAGGATATATTCTCATCTTTCATGTATCAGCCATTTTGAACCCTTGTAGAATTCTTAGTCGGGATATAGAATTTACCCAAATTATGTCAGAAATTCCTCAGGGTCCACACAAGGGAGGAAAAGACATCAGGGGACATACTTAAGGCCCCCAGCTTAGATAAGCATTGGGTCTTTAGAGAGCTGAGTCTGGAATGCAAAATGAAACTCCACTTTAATTAATAACACAGGAACTTTCACATGACCTGAGAACAACACATATTGTGTGATTTAACCTTATTCATGAGGGAATTGGAACGGTAGCTCCAGGCTCGCTCTCCCACTGTTACAGCTTACACAAAATTTAATTAATAACACAGGAACTTTCACATGACCTGAGATCAACACATATTGTGTGATTTAACCTTATTCATGAGGGATTTGGAACGGTAGCTCCAGGCTCGCTCTCCCACTGTTACAGCTTACACAAAAGATTCGTTTATAAAGGGAGGTGTTTTGTTTGAGATAGAAATTAAAAGCTCAAAATCTCAAGGTCAGTCAACCTGCTGTTATTAAACTTATGTGCAGCTAAATCATCTTTTGTGGATTTGGGGGTAATAACAAGCAGCAATAAAGCATAGATAATTTGCATCAGGAAGACAAATTGGATCTTGCCAAATAAAGCCAGTATGACTGTGACCTTTAGAACAAAGGCAATCTAGTTGCCTATCTAAAAAACTCTAATTCATATGAATTAAATAAAGTTTGGAGTCGATCATTAACTGTGATGTGGGTTCTCATGTCAGCTGCCTGCCTTCTAATCACTGAGCCAATTATGCATTTTGTGGAACAACATTTAAAGGTAATACTGCAGAAACAGACAGGATGCAAAGAAAATAGCTATTTGGTATTTACCACTGTTCCAATTATTGTATTAGATAAGCCTCAGTGGCTGTTGGAAGGTTTTCTGTGATCTTTGGGGAAATGGTAGTTTATAGTGGGTTTTCTGTGGTGAGGCTACATGGTCTGTATAGTGGCCTTGGCTCTCCTGGATTCACAGACGTATCTGGTTCAGAAAGATAAGTGTTTAGATAGAAGATATCAGAAAGTCATTGTTTGGAAGAACCAAACCCGGGGGAGTGCTCTCTACAGGGTGGCTACTGGAGATAACAAAATGCACTCTTGTTTCTCATGTCCTAGTTGGATGTATTGGACAGACTGGGAGGAAGATAAAATAGATGACAGCGTGGGAAGGATTGAGAAGGCTTGGATGGATGGCTTCAATCGACAGATTTTTGTGACTTCAAAGATGCTGTGGCCAAACGGCTTAACGCTGGACTTTCGCACCAACACATTATATTGGTGTGATGCCTACTACGATCATATTGAAAAAGTATTTTTGAATGGAACTCACAGAAAGGTAAAAGACAAGTGCTGCTGTTTTTAACCCGCAGGCTTCTTCCACAGAGCCTTGTTGTGTTGTGTTAAAAATACTTTCAAGTTTATTTTTACCCCTCTGTGGTGGCTGCCAATAGTCTCCATGGGGTGGCTAAAGGAGCTGAGTATTAAGCCGTGCAGCTGGCACTGGCCTCCAGGATGCCAGACCCAGTTCACTGTGGTATGCCAGGATTTGTGGGTTTATTTTTTAAAGAAGCTCTCCTGGTAGCAGAGCTGTTTTTACAATGCAGCTCTTCTACATTATTGATAGCTTTACCGTGACCGAGCAACCTCTCTCTATTTGAATATGTTCAATATTTGCAGCCGAAATTTAGACAAAGTAATTATACTGCATTCATTTGAGTAAAGAACTTTGTGATGCTCAACCTGAGATGCATCTGGGAATGGGCTGAATTCCAAGGCTATCAGTGCAAATAGATGAATGTGCTCTAGTTTATTTTGCTGAAATGCTCGTAAAATATTCTGACAATGTGGGATAATACTGACAATTGTGTAACTGAGGGAATGATGGCGCTAGATAACAAAATCATCAACTTGCTGCTTTGTCTTCAGTTATTAACAACCTAGAGACCCATGGAATAACTTCCACTTTGAAGTATATGGTAAAGAAAGTGTAAGCTAGATGTTTCCCAAATGTGTCGTTGATGTAAGTTCCTTTCTAGATTTGAATTCCAAATGGTAAGTTCATGCTACTCATTAAGAATTCTTTTTGAGAAATAAATAGTACTGTAATCAGTTTGGTCTTTGGTGTTCACAAATGATAGTCAAATATTTTCCAAGATGTATAAAATTTATTGGCATGTACCATAATGCCATGTAACTCTGATGTACTAACTAAATGTCTGTGCTTTCTTTGAAGATGTTAGTATATATACTACATATATATACTAAATATATGTAGTATATATATATATGTATATATATATATATATATATATAACCATAATGTGTTATAATATGTAACTATATATAGCATATATAGCATACCATATAAGATGTTAATATATATATATATATACACAACATACATTCATATATACAGACTAATACCTTCAAATGATATACATAATGTGTATAATTCCATGGTTATCATGTTTTAGGTTCTTATGTATCTTATTCTTTTGTATATCACAATTTAACTGGAGAATTTAATTAAAAGGAGCACAATTGCCATGTGGCAGTATCACATAACTTTAACCCCAGCACTAAGAATGAAGCTGGCCTGGTCTGCAAACCAGCTTGCATGAGAGCCAGGGCTGTTACACAGAGAAACCTTGTCTTCAAAAACAAAAACACAAAACAACAACCAAAAAAAAAAAAAAAAAAAAAGCAGCATAATTTTAATTTTCATAAATTACATTTGCAAGTTCCTTAAATTTTGAATAATGATTGAAAAAGAATGCATTGCTTTCTTAGTAGCATATAGTATTATTTTATAAATAATGAAAGGTAAGAAATAAGTCCATGCTGAGGGTCTAGTACATTTACTGTCTATCAAGTCCATGTGCAAGATGATTTGACTGTTCTCCTGATTCAGAACTGCAACATATAGAAGGAAATTAAATAATAAAATAACACAATCAAAATTTATCCTCATTAGCAAGTCATATCTATGTAGAATTAAAACCTTTCCCTTCCTTGTTATTTCCTGGATTTCTTCAATTTTCATTGGCCCAATTATTCTAGAAAGTCTTTCCCATTAACACAGCCATTTAAACATTTCATTTCAATTGATTATTCTATGAGGGTCATGGGTGATTATATGTGCATGATTGTGAGTTTGTGTGTATGCATGTGTTTTTATGTATGTATCCACACAGTGATTTTTTGATTAACTTCCATCCAAGGGAATAATAAATATCACACAGAAGAGAGAAGTAAAGGTGAGCAAAGCCATTTTAATGTTTGCATTCTTGATTATATCAGCAGTGGCATTTATGAGAGAAATTTAGACAGATGAAGTGTTGACTATCTTCTTCAAATTGAATATACCCAAAACAAGAAAAAAGCTCACATTGTAAAAGTATCTTCTGTAAATCTAATCTGATATAATATGAGTTAAGACTGTAATTAGATTGTTCTCTGGTATGACTATATGAATATTATTTACTTAAATAGTGATGTTTATATAGTCTTGATTTATGCAGTACATTCATGTTTATTTCATATTTTACAGATTGTTTACAGTGGGAAAGAATTGAATCATCCTTTTGGATTATCACATCATGGGAATTATGTGTTCTGGACAGATTACATGAATGGTTCCATTTTTCAACTAGATTTGATAACCAGTGATGTGACATTGCTGAGGCATGAAAGAGCACCCCTGTTTGGGCTTCAGATTTATGATCCACGAAAGCAACAAGGTATTAAAATATCAAAACTATTTTCAACATTTCACATGTAGTAAGACTTCACTATAGTAACACAAAGTTTTGTTTGACAATGTTGGTGGTTTTATAAAAACTTGCCAGCTCACTGTAAGTCACTCAAATCTTAGAGCTTGTTACCATAAAAATACATTTCTTGTTCATATGTAGCCTGAGTGAGGAAACCAGGCAATTCTGCTCAAGAGAAATCGAGGTTTCTCAAACATTTCTTTTTCCACATCATTTTCAGTGAAAACATGCATATATATATATATATATCATGAGTTATTAATATTTATTATTCCACCACAATTACCATGACTCATAACTTAGATGGTAAGCACTGAAAACAACTTAGCAAATGATATGGTAGATGTTTTATGATTTTTAAATAGTTGCTATTCCTTTATAATGTAGATATCCTTATAAATATTTAATGACCATGCATCACAATAAATTTAGATTGAATATATTGCACCCTTAATTTTCTGATACATGTCTTGTCAGTAGGGATTTCAGTAACATCAAGGTTTTGAAAGGTGTTTGCATTAACGTAGTTATCTTAAACAGACCACCTCATTCCTGAGCCTCAGGTTTCCTCCTTTATTAAAAGTACTCTATCTACAGACAAATAAAGTGATAAGAATGCTAAATAATATGGGCTAATTCTTGATTAAATTATCTTTTAAAAAGGACAAAATTGGTGTTATCTGGACTAGTACAAGGAGAAGAATGAAAAATAGAGAAAATTGCTGGAGAGGGCAATTCTCTCCTAGCATTCATACATACCAATCTCACACTTTTGCTGCACACATTTCATTTGCCGGGGTTATACAGGAAGTGTTCCTTCTCCCTTCCCCACAGCCTCACTTCCTCCTCTCCCTTCTTTCCCTTTTCCTCAGAACTGGTAATTGGTATTCCTTCTTGCTAGTCAAGAGCTCTTCTACTAAGTCCCTTTCCTGTCTTTAGAACCATCTACTCTAAGTGTCATTTCTCAACTCCCTTGAGCCAGAATTCATTCTACAGACTTCATAGACGTTATTCTTCTGGTTTGTCTTAGAAAAAATATCTTGTCCAAATAAAATGGACTTGGGCTTAAGCAATGGCCTGTGATCCTTTTCAGACTTTGTAATCATGAAATATTCAATGTAGATCAGAAATATATCCTTTACCAAATTGTTGTGAGGATCAAATAATCATGTGTTATATTAAAAATAAATCTCACAAGACATAGAACATGTGAGACAATTCACAACTTTTTATATATCACCTCAGGAAAAATACTCAGTTCAAAATTTTCTTTATATAAATTCCACTTAAATATTTAAAGCAATAATTATTATCAAAGTGATGTGCAATAAATTGTGTTTCTCAAACACAGCAGTATATCTGCTTTTTGAAAAATACTTAGATTATAATTAATAAGTACTGTCATTGGATAAAGAATTGCTTTTTTAAAAGTTCTTTTACCATTGTATTTCAAGAGATCATAATTACTAAGCTCATTATGAATGCTCAATTAGAAATGATTATGTTCTGTTCTACTTAAAAATGTGTCCATTCCAACTGATAGATTGTTTTTACTAACTTAGGTGGACTAATAAATTAGCTTCAGTTCCTATCTAATCATCCTACATCTAATGATTGTCTACAACTATACCAATCACTGAACTATAGCACATTATAGAAAGAATTCCTAGTTAGTACCTTTGGACAGGAGTCAATACTCATTGATTTTAGATAATCTACAAAAGATATGTTGTTTTCCATGTTTAATTGTATTGATTAAGACAAGATAATTACAAAGTAAAAGGAATTAAGATTTTTAGATATAGGCAACTCAATCTACAGTGGTGCAGTTTTTCTTCTAATTGTCCTTTTCCTTTCAACTTCTGAACATAAGATACTAAATTTTTAAAATATACAGTGAATATAATATTTGGTATCCTTTCTATTAAGACTTTAACAATATTTTATTTTATGCATACAAATGTTTTGTCTGCACAAATGTCTGTGCACTTTGGTTCCTTGAGGAGACCAAAAGAAGGTGTTAGCTCTCCTGGGACTCGAATCAGAGGTGATTGAAAGCTGTTATGTGGGTACTGGGAATCACATCTGACTCTTCTGCTGATCAATCTTTTCAGCTGCAGTTTATCTATTCTTTATCTAAAGGGTAATACAGGAACTGAATAGGCAACCAGATCCTTTGAGAGTAGGCTCTAACATTTTTTACTTCCAGTGGGGGAGAAAATGTTACATAGCTTCCATTCCATGCTTGTCACCATCCATATGTGTTGCAGGTACTTGTAAATTCACATAATGACAGAACACTAAAAAATGAACAGTACTGGAAGATTATAGAAGGCAAGATTTATGTTTTCCGTTTTTTTTAAAAAAAATCAGAATCAGAGAAAAATAAGGCTGACAGATTGTTTTGTACTGTAAACATATTCCACCACCTGCTGGAAATAAACATTTGCTGGGGATTGAATTGCTAAGGTCCATAGCATTGAGCTATTAATACAGAGTTGCCAAATAATTTTATATATCATATGTGTCTTAATTATTGTTCAGTGGAGGTTGTAATATACCTTTAACTTTTCTTTCCTAGGCATTATATTCACTGAACACAGTTATATCTGTAAATTAAAATGAAAATGAGGAAGGCATTATTCATGATAAAATTCTTTTATATCTGTCTGCATACTCACATATATATCCATCTGTGTAGTCATATTTTTATTGCCATCATTCTATGCAATCATGCCTGTGTCTACACCTATGTATGCTCTAAAATCTGTGTTTACATGTGTCTATGAACTGACATATATCTAGATATATCCATGTCTAACACCTGATTCTACATCTATGCGCTCAAACATAAAAATACATGACATATATCATACATTTTAAATGATACATGTAACTGCAGCATCTATCCCTGACTCATGTGTATATTTGCACCCCATGCACACATGCCTGAATTTATCTCAATCCCTGCACCACACCAGCATCTATAATGTTTTTGAACTCACACCTGTACCTGTGGTGCACAGACATGTCCCAGGCCCAAGCCATAATAGCCATGACATTTGGCCTGCGTGGAATTGGAAACCCCTTGCAACCCAATGGCTATAAAGAACAAACACAGGCATCTTGCCATCTTTAGAGAGCTCTCAGTTCCACGCTGCAAAACTAGAGTCTCTTCTTTATTCAGCATCTTTCTGGTTGTTTCCTAAACATGCTTCCTAACTCTCTGTCATCACTTATTACTTACACACCTAACCCTCTGCCCAGGTGCAGGCCTATTCAAATGCTTAGTTCTGTAGAGATGCAAACTAGGGGACATTCCCCACCGAGGCGATGCTATTCAATAGCAAATTAGCTAGCATCTCCTATTCAATGCGGACCAGAACTCCTGGTTATTGGAACCACTGGAAATTTCCTAATGGAATTTTCCTGATCCCTGACATGTACCTGTATCTATTCCCATGCTCACACATGTATCCACATCTGTCTCTGTCCTCACACATTGTATTTATATTGACAATAGTTGCTCTGTCTTTCACATTGCTAACTCAAAGTATCATTCATTCAAAAATTAATCAAAAACTCTATGTGACACACATAATTCATAGTACTTCTAACTCTGGAAGAATCATGAATGGAAAGAAAAGATAATGTTTGGGTCTTCAAAGAAAGTCCCTTGGACTTGACAGTACAAATTGTTATTAATGCAGTTGTATTCATATTTGAATATTTAAGTATATTCACTTCCAATGTAAGTTACTCTAGAAATATAAGTTGTAGTAGTGTTTGGTAGTTGTTTTTATTTGTTTAATAAATTTTAATTCAGCTTATTCAAGTAAATTAAATAAAAGCATTGATTTAAATAAAAATCTTAAATTTTTATTAGTAAAGATAAAGACATTATTAAACAAAGTAATTTTAACAAGGATTAATTATTTTGCATTTTTACATCTCAGAAACTTCATTTAGACACCTAAATATGCAACTGATATAAAATCAAATTAAAATATTGTTATAGCTATAAATAGATAAAATTGAATGTACATACAAGGTAACCATCTATGAGAACTATGCAGTATGGGTTTTATATTCTGTGACTGTTACTAATTACTGACCAGTTCCATGAAATGTATAGATTATTTTTGACATTGAATTTGAAAAATAGTAATGTTTGAAGATTATTTTATGAATTATCTTTAAAAGATATAACTTCAAGAAACAGTATCATATTAGCTCTGATGGGGATATTTTCTTAGAATGAAATTGAAAAATATGTTCAGTCATTAAACAAAAAATTTTATGCTCTTCCAATAAGATATGTGGAACTATTCATATTAGTTTATCTTTGTGATTTCTATTACCGAAGTACAAATGCTATTTCTTCCTTTTCAGAATGTTGTATTCAAATTAAAGGAATGTATTTTAAACTTTAAATAATGCTAATTTATTTCAGAATATGGAAATTTTTTATTCTATGGGAATATATGTATTGCCATTCATTTATGTATTTAGGAAAGATCTATAAAGCATTCTGTATCCTGATGAATTCTAGTCAATAGTTTATTATTTCTTATGGTTTAAGTTATATATGCCCCCAAATATTATGAAATAATTCTAAATTTCTGAAATCTGGATGATACTAAAAGTTGAATATGCAATTTAATGCTGTGCATATTGCGAACACAGAAAGGAAAGGGTACCTGAGTGTCCTTTAAAGTTTCTCATATTTATTCCATAATCATGAAAAACATATGTGGCATCTGGAAGCTGCATAAAATATTTTCACATTTCTGAGCAGAAAAATATATAAGATAATTTTCATTACCTTTTTAGTTTGGACATTGAGCTCATTGCTTGCATTATTTGCTACCTTAGCTTTGTAGCATGTTTTATATTTTTATGCTTGTAATGAATGAAAGACTCTAGGATCGAGGAGTCTCCACAAATCGGACAGTCCCCCCCCAAAACACTCAATGTCCAGTCCAGCTGATGTAAAAACAAGAGTTAAGTTTATTGTGGGACGTTTGCACAAACAGGCCTCCCAGTCCAACAGACAAAGGAAGCCCTGTTCCTCAAAAGCAGGCTTCTTTTATAGGAGAAAACCATAGACTTTTAGGGGTTAGGGTGGTGACCAGGGTCACAGGTTCTTTGGAGGTCTCTTATCTTTGGGG